CCATCCCCCTACTTGCATTGCCTCCCTTCTCAGCCCTTTCCTACCAGCACCTCATCTCTCCTGCGACCTAAATCCTTTTTAGCTCCAGGAGAGCTATCCAAATAAAGCTACTTTGCAATGAGAACAGTGTAACCAGGTTTGAGGGTGCTGTGTAATGCTGCAGGCAGTTCTTGACACAGAACCAAGTATCCTGCATAGTTAAGTGCAGTTTTGCACACGCTCTTTACGTCACAAGGTCATGTCACTCTACCACCAGCCTCCTGAACACTCTTCTATTTTTGCTTACCAGAAGCAATTTCTTTCCATTCTGTCCCCTGGGATCCAAGCACCACACAACAGCAATAGGTTTTTCTTCCCTTGGTCACAAGCAAAAAAAAAAACCCAAACAAAATCTCTGAAAACAACAAAGAAAAATCCCCAGTAAACAAAATAAATCAGAAACCATTTTTTTCTCCTAACTTCCAAACTATGACAATTAAGATAAAAAATACATATATTCTTAAAAACCTCAAACCTCTATCACTCCCATTCTTCTAAAAACGGAATCAGCTCAGGCTATGACAAAGCTGAAGCACCAGAGCTGTGGCCCACACCAGGTCCATGCCTGCTGCCATCACCTGCAAAACCTGCAGCGGGCATGCCCAGGGTGCCATTCCCAACAGCACAACCCTGCTAGGTGTGGGAACAATTCACACATTTGGATAAGGCCAACAGGCTCTGTGGGCTGAGCAGCATCCTTGTTTTCCCTCCCTTTTCATGGCTTTCCCCCCCCAGTCAGCTGTTCTGAGCTCAGCCTGTTCAGCTGAGTTCTCCTCGGTGGCGAGTGACAGCATTCAGGCTGTCACCAACATGTCACACCACGAGTGACCTCCCAGCACAGAACCCATGAGAAGGGAGGGCTCTGCAGGCAGGGCAGGATCCAGGGAAAGGATTTCAGAAGCTGACATTTACACTGAGGATGTGCCCAGTTCCTGCTCTGGTATCAAGCAGGACTGAGGAAATGCACAAAACTAACCTGGACTGGATGGGAAAAGGCTTCAGAGAGGTGAGGAAAAAAGTAATTATTTGCATTTTTTCTTGCTGAACATATTCCTTTCTTCAGCCTTCACATCCAGGGAGATCCTCAGCTCTGCCTCAGCTCTGCCACAGATCTCCTGTCACTGCACACATTGTCAGGAAGAGCACAACAGGGAAAGGGCATTTTTCCAAGTGCTGCTTTCCCATGATATCCAACCCTCCTGAAAGGATATAAAGCTCTTCCCCTACTGTTAATTTTCTTTTAGTCCCAATGCTTTACAGAGGAGTAATTTGGCTTGTTACAAGCACATGGCATTATCTTTTGTTTTGTGATGGACAGGGGGTAGTTTAAAAATAAATAAGCTTTCAGACTAAATAATATAATTATATAATTGCCTTAGATTTCATGGACTGCACTCAATCTTGATAGCCATTTCCATGTCTGCTTTTTCAGCTTTTAAACTTTATGCTGTCATTCTGTACTTTATTTAGGCACTAAGGGACTCTTCCCATATCCAAATTAATGATTTCCTGCTGAGCACCTGGATGAAAGTACCCTCCAGTGAAGTGAGCACTCAGTCCCCAAGAGAAGGACAAAGGTAACTCTTGTAATGCATCACTCTGCTCATCACATCACCTTTTTCCTCCCCTGAGCTCAAGCACATCAGGTGCAGTTCTTAAATGAATAAACCATGTGCTTTTCTCCAGGTTTTCCACCAGCACAGTGAGAGAGCAGTTTAACAACAGTTAAACATCAGTTCAGAGTCACAACAGCCTTTTTGTGTCTATTAATTACTTTCATCTTAAGCTTTGCAAAACGCCTCAAAGGAGGGAAGGCAAAATACTGAGAGAGCACACATCCAGCAGAGGTGGAGAGCATTTATTACTAATCTGTGCTCCAGGAGGAGAGATGAAGCTATGAAAAGAAATAATCCCAGCAAACAGGTTTCTGAGCAAAAGGAGAGAACACAAGGTGATCAAAGAGCTGGAGAAGCCGATTGCAGAGAGCTGCAGGGAGCTACTTTGAGTGTCCTGGTTTGAGCAACATTAAACTGCAGTGGAAAAATCAGTTACTATTTCATGAAGTGACCATTGACTTGTGTTCACAACTAAAGACTGATTTCCCAAAATATTTAACGTATCACAGCAGTTTCTTCCATTGAAGTGCACTCCAGGGCATAACTGGGTGTTTCTCACTGTGTCACCAATTGCCACACACCAAAACAGAAAACAGGATTGTTTTTTTTGCAGCCACCCACAACCCAAGTTTCAGCACACACAAATAAATTGGGAAACCAGGAATATCATTTAGCACCAGAGAAGCATTCATGGATGACATTTGCTTTAACAAACTTGGAGGAAGACTCAAACCCTGGGTTCAGGCTTGTTTAAAGTCTGAGCTGCTCACATGGCTCTTATGAAACACCTCAACTTTCCTGTTTGCCTGAGCTCACCTGTGGTGACACCAACATCTGAAAGAGTCCCAGGTAAGTGAAGAGTGAAATGAATCCTAAGGCAGTTTCTCTTCCCACTGTGCTCTACCTGTTCCCAGCAGAGGAAAATGTTTAAGGCACCAAGAGCTGCCTTGGCCACACAGTCAGGCCAAAAGCTGCTCCTGTGAAACAACTGTGAAACAGGGCCCACAAAACAGCCCAAGAACAGGCAATGAAAGATTAGCAGGCAGATGTTGAAATATGTTAGTAAGATGTTGGAGACAAAAATTCCCTGGGTAATTCTGTAGACAGAAAGACAGCTCTGTGAGAACAACAGGAATACTTTAATGGAGAAAAAGCAAAAAAAAAAAATCTACCCCAACACTTGAAACAAACCAGTAATACCTGTTGACAGCTGATTTGTGCCTTTACCACAGGATACCAAATCCAGCTGCTCCCAGCACTGTTTCTCTGGCTGCAAATCTGTTGTGGAGAGGCTGCAATTTTTATTTTAATGATAAAATTTGGGAGAGAAAGGGAAGTCAGATAAATGTGATGGCAAATATGTGAACAAGAAATTTGCAACTTTAAGTTTCCAGATGAAGCACAAGGAAGCAGATTCCTAGTTTGGAGCAGAGTCAAAAAGCACAAATAAGGTCTGGAGCACAAGGGAACCTTCTGAGCCAAGAGCTGGCCATGGTGTCTGGGCTCTGAGAAAGACCCCAGCATTTCCAAACTCACAAGGAGTATTCCAGCCCATGGGAGTTTCCCCATACATTTCAATGGATTAGGCTTTCCCTCTGCTACAATAAACCATGCTTACAAAATGAACTGCTTGGTGTAACAGGCACACATTGGGAAACTTGCTTTAATCAGCTATGGCTTTTGTTTGGTTTTGTTTCTTTTTAAAGCTCTGCATTCCTGAGAACCCATCCTCTGTTAACCCTTTCAAACAGTGCAGAACTTTGAGAGCCAGCTCAATCAGACCTCTCAGTACTCACACAAACTCTGGGGGGCTGGGTCATCCAGGGATGTGGAGAGTAACAACAGCATCTTTACACATAGCAGGAACAGATTCTCAAAGACACAAACACTGATAAAGTTTTCAAATGTTTTTCTTTCATTGTTTTAAATAAGAGAATAACCATATCCTACATTATTTCCATTAAAAAAATAATCTGCATGACACTGGTTAAAGTGGACAGAAATATCCACAGTGATTGCACAAAACATTTGTGAAAATGAACATCATTTCAGCAAGTCAGTTGGTTTAAGTAAACAGCATTTCCTGTTCCAAGGGCTTGTCTATACAGCAAAGTTACATAAAGATAACCTAAAATAGGAACTTAATGAAATTAATCATAAAACCTTCTGGGTATATAATATAATCCTTTTCCATGGTGAATGTGGCTTGCAGTCTAGCTTAGCTCTATTGGGAGTAGGCTTAAATTACATCAAAAGAGTGTCTGCAAATACATTTGCATTGTTTAAACAAATTTAGTTAAACCCAATATGAGTTAATCAGTGCAATTTTCAAAGAGTCAGCTTAAAAGGCAATTTAATACAAAACCAAGAGGAGTTTGACAGAAAAGACATAACCCTGTGGACAGCTTCTTTCTGAGAGGTGAATTGCTTTTTCTAAGGACACACAACTCCCACCTGCCACCAAATTCAGTGGGAATTCCAGCGAATTTAGCTCTCCTCAGAGGCAGACCACAGCATGGAACTAACACTGCTGGAGGAATTGCAAATGCTTCCACTCAGAGAGAGGCTGAGCTGGCAAATGTGCCAAGATTACCTGATGGAGCATCACACCCTGCAGTCAGAAAAAGTCACTCTGCAGTCTGTGGGGTCAGTGGAGGTGACCCACAGCCCCTCCTGGCTGTCCTGTCATCACTGTCAAACACACTTCATGCAACTGCACCATGAATGAGCCTCTATAAAATAATTAAAAGCTTTGGAGATAAAAACTATGCTAAACATCTGACTGATAAGATGAGCAAGCCCATCTCACCCCTATTCATTATCTACTAGCAGTGTTTTGTTCAGTAGTGGCTTTACAGCCACATCAAAAGTGGCCACAGCTTTATGTGCAATCAGAATTAAATAGCTTATTGGTATTGCAAGAATAAATATTGCTTCAAGCACACTCTGCTTTGCAGCTCCCAGGATAAACAATGCATTTCACTCATTACCAAGCAGACTATTTGGGAAATAGCAGGATAAGCTAGCTCGTTCAGAACACCAGAATTCCACTGTTGTTCTAGAAGAAAGAACAAACCCAAGGAATTTGTTGTTGCAAAGTTTGTAGTGGATTAGATTTTAAAAAAATTAAAACCCCAATCCTCATACTAGACTTTTTAGCAAAACAGAAAGGAGTTTGGGTTTTTTAGTGTCTAGAATAAAATGACAAAATATTATTACATCTACCTCACCTAAGGAGAAAGTTAAGGCTTGTTTTTCCAAGAGCTTCCTTTTAGGACATGGCATGAATTGAGAATCAGCCTGCCTCAGACACTGCACCTCAGACTTACTGAGGCATTTCTGGCAAGTTAGTGTTTTTAACACTTGAGAACATGAGATGTTCCAGTTTCACAACAGAACCGCTTTCAGAATTTATATTTCTGCAATGCTTAGCAGCACTGTGATTATTAGAGCTTTCCCATAAGGCAATACAAATAGGAACATTAAAAAGCCTGAGGTTTGGATCATCCACAATATCTTGACATAATTCAAAAAGGAAGAGGGAGAATTAACTGAGATAAATCACACTCCTAAAGATCAAAGGCCTCTTTTAGCCTTGGGTCTGCTACTTCATTTATTAGTGAGAGAAACAGATTCAGCTCCTGATTTCTTTGCTGACAATCCCAGTCGGCAGCTCCTGAACAAGAGCAGACTCTTCCAATCCTGATTTTTTTTTCTTCTCCCAGGGAAGAAGCTCATTACCACCTGCCAGCCAATGGCTAGTACAGATTAGGTTTCCTCCAACCCATCACCTTGTTCCTTACAGTGGAAATACAGTAACCATTCCTACATTCAACTACTCCAGTACTGAAAGCAAAATCCAAAACATTTCAAACCTTATTTTATCTGCTATAGCTGTATTTCTTTGAACTCAAAGGTATATTTGGAAGAGGTAGTCCAGGAGAAAAGGGCTTCAAATACCAATACCTGTATGTCCCATACCAAGCTGCCAGACCTATCAGCACACCGAGAAGCTTTTGGCTGAAGTCATGGAAATACAGGGCAGTACAGAGGAACATGAACACCCAGATCATGGTGAGGGAACACAGGGAAACCAGCAGCACGTTGATCACCACCCTCAGCTTGGAGCCGTGCTCTATGGCCAGCGCTTCCAGCACAGCCAGCTCCTCCAGGATCATCATGGCACAGTAGGAGAGCAGGAAGCAGTGCCCCGAGATGTCGAAGCCGCTCCAGACGCCGCCGTCCTGCCGGCACTCGCGCTTGGAGGCGTACGGCCGGGGGGGCTGGCCGGGCTGGCCCTGCAGGGAGCACTCCCCTGTGAGGTTCTCTATGAAGATGAAGAGCTCAGTGCACAGGTACCACACGGCCGTGCCCACCAGCAGGGCCCCCAGGCGCCGCAGCACCAGCAGCGCGCTCCGCGTGCGGCCGAACAGGAGCTTGCTCCGGCCCAGCTCGTACGTGCTGAGGGTGATGAAGGGCAGCAGCAGCCACAGAGTCCAAGCCCAGGCCACCTTCACGAAGTATCTGCCAGAGGAAAGGCAAAGGAGACACAAAGGAGCATGGGTGAAATGCCACAGTGGAGTAAGTGCTCGAGGTCAGTGTTCAGAACTGTCTAAATAAGAGACTTGGCCCTGTTGTATTTGCAGGGAGTGTCCCAACAAAGGCAGGAATGATGCATCTGACTCCATGTTCTCAGAAGGCTAATTTACTACTTTATAATTTATTACTTTATAATACTATCATATATTGAGGAATACTATTCTATACTAAAGAATACAGAAATTATACTTACTCAATGCTGAAAAGATAATAATGAAAACTTGTGACTCTTTCCAGAGTCTCGACACAGCTTGGCCCTGATTAGCCAATGAGTGAAAACTTACACCAGAATCCAATGAAATAATCTCCAAATACAGTCCACATGAACAAAATAGAGGAGAAACAAAAGAGTTAAGAATTGTTTTCCTTTTCTCTGAGGCTTCTCAGCTTCCCAGGAGAAAAGTCCTGGGTGAAGGGATTTTTTTCAGAGAATGTGAATGCCACACTTGTGCCCTCCTCCCAAAATACAGCTTAGCCACAATCTTAACCCTCTCCCCAGTACTCCCCTCAAGCCCAAAACCTGAATACTTCCTCAGGCAGGTACTTGTTCCCAAGGCAGTGTTGCCTTGGGCCCAGAGCCCTCATTCATTGCAGCAGACCTGCAGTTCAGTTTTGCAATCACTTTGACCCTACAAAGCAGCTCAACTCTGCCCTGCTCAAAATGCAGCTGCAAAGAATGTATTTTTAGCTTGCCACCCTGACCACAGTAACCCCTTCTCTGACTCTTCCACCATCTCAATTATCCTTGCTTACAAAGCCTTTCACAACCTCAGCCTCTAAAGACAGCCAGAAGAGCTGGCTCTTTCCCCTCATCAGCCTGAGAAGCTTTTTCTCTCTCGTGTCCTTCTAAACAAATGAGGCAGCTCAATGTTGTTCCTTTATTGTCCTTTCAATCAATGAGAGCCTTCTTTTAGCATACACAAATCCTTCCATCTCTAGATTCACTCTCTGCCCTGAAAACTTTTGCTGTGATGCCCATAAAATCTTGAAGCCCAGCTGACAATGTGTTGACATCTTGTTTAACAGAAGACAGTATTGTGTTAACTCAATCTCTTTTCAAATCTTAAACTGGAGCACGTGTAAGTGAATTTATTAATGAATTAAGGAGGCCACAGTCCAGGATCTTGTTTCTCCCATCAGCACTTTCCAAGGTGCTTGCTTCCTATCAGCTGGTGGGAAATGGAATTGTGCAGCCCCTTTGTTACCCAGAGCCCAGTTTGAAAACAGAGACAGCTGAACTCTGTGCCTGAGCTGTGGACACAACACACAGTCATCATTTAATCCTCACCTGAGCATCAAAGGCAAAGCCAAACCAGTCTGGAGTTCTGCATCCTCCTTATGACCCTAACAAACCTGTCAGGGCCTTGCCCAGGACTTTAATTTTACAGAAGTGATGCCTGTGTGGCAACTGCAGCTGCTACCATGAAACAGTAGTTGAAAATAACCCTCCCATTTTATTTAAAAGCAAGAAAGGCTGCCAAGGTTACTGCTGACAAGCCAGGAGGCAAGTAATTTGCAGGGAAAAAGTACTTGCTTCAGGAACTGTCAGTACAGATCACCTTCCTCTATTTAAAAAGGAGAACTGAACTGAAATATGCTTTTACTGTAAGATCAATTTCTCTCTAAGTGTTTCCTGTCAATGCTCTTTCAATCACACTGAAAACAGCTCTTGTCCCATGTCACCAAATGACAGATTGGAATGAGTTAAGTCCAAAGCCGCCCAAGTCACAGAGGAAAACAGCAATTTTAATTTTACTTTAGACCTGTAGCAGGACAGCACACGTGCTCCAGCCCAGCTCATTGCTTCCTTCAAAATGCTCAAACTAATTTCACAGAATGACTAAGCCAGTTAGCTCATCGCCCAAGTGCCAGAAAAGGATGGCAGCCACTCTACTTTTAGGAAAGATGCTAAAAGACCTATTTCCTTCAGCTCGCTTTTAGATCAGCTCGGTAACTATCACAGAATCACAGAATCTGCTGAGTTGGAAGGGACTCACAAGGGTCATGGAGTCCAACCCTTGGCCCTGCACAGGAGAGTGCAAGAGTCACACCATGTGCTGGAGAGCATTGTCAAAAATGCTGTCAAAATGTCAAAATGCTGCCAAAATGTCAGAACGCTGAGCTCTGTCGGCCTTGGTGCTGTTACCGCTGCCCTGGGGAGCCTGTTCCAGTGTTCGGCTATGATCCTGATGAAGAATCCTTTCCTAACACCCAGCCTAGCCCTCTGACACAGCTCCAGGCCCTGCCCTCGGCTCCTGCCACTGCCTGCCAGAGAAAGTGAAATCAGTTTATTCAAATACGAGGAATTATCTGCGAGATTAAGAAGGAAAAAAAAAAGAAAAAAGAAAAACCAAAACTCCTTTTCTCCCCTTCCAATAAAGACTGAACCACTGAAAACTCCCGGTATTCTGAAACCTTTGAGTCAGGAACAGTAAATCTCATCACCGAAGCACCAACCCCAGCCCAGCGCGGCACTCGCGGCCAGCACCGACCCCCAGCCCGCTCCGGGCACCCCGGCCCGCTCCGTCCGCCCTGCCCGGCCCCTCCCGCTCGCACCGCCCGCGACCCCGGGCCCCTCCTCACACGTTGAGCGGGTTGCGCTTGTTCTGCAGCGGCGAGTCGGGCACCAGGTCGCTGTCCTTGAGCGCGGAGCCGAGCACGGCGATGGCGAGCAGCAGCGCGGGGAGGCGGCGGCGCAGCGGCCCGCGGGCCAGCGCGGCCCGCAGCCAGCGCCCGCTCCGCTCCAGCCGCTCCATGGCCGCCCCACAGCGCCCGCACCGCCCGGCCCCGCCCCCGCAGCGCCCCCGCGCGGCCACCGCCGGCACCGCCACACGGGGCTGCCACACAGCGCCCTCTGCTGGCAGCCCGCGGGAGCGCCAGGAGCCGTGAACGAGCAGCCGTGCGCCGGGATCGGCCCGCAGGGATCCGTTCACAGGGATCCATCCTCAGGGATCCATCCTCAGGGATCTGATCACAGGGATCGACCCGCAGGGATCCGTTCACAGGGATCCATCCTCAGGGCTCCATTCACAGGGATCTGATCACAGGGATCGGCCCGCAGGGATCCGTTCATAGGGATCCATCCGAAGGGATCCATTCACAGGGATCTGATCACAGGGATCGGCCCGCAGGGATCCGTTCACAGGGATCCATCCGCAGGGATCCATTCACAGGGATCTGCTCACAGGGATCGGCCCGCAGGGATCCGTTCATAGGGATCCATCCGAAGGGATCCATTCACAGGGATCTGATCACAGGGATCGGCCCGCAGGGATCCGTTCACAGGGATCCATCCGCAGGGATCCATTCACAGGGATCTGATCACAGGAATCGGCCCGCAGGGATCCGTTCACAGGGATCCATCCTCAGGGATCCATTCACAGGGATCTGATCACAGGAATCGGCCCGCAGGGATCCGTTCACAGGGATCCATCCTCAGGGATCCATCCTCAGGGATCTGATCACAGGGATCGGCCCGCAGGGATCCGTTCACAGGGATCAATCCGCAGGGATCCATTCACAGGGATCTGATCACAGGGATCGGCCCGCAGGGATCCGTTCACAGGGATCCATCCGCAGGGATCCATTCACAGGGATCTGCTCACAGGGATCGGCCCGCAGGGATCCGTTCATAGGGATCCATCCTCAGGGCTCCATTCACAGGGATCTGATCACAGGGATCGGCCCGCAGGGATCCGTTCACAGGGATCCATCCTCAGGGATCCATCCTCAGGGATCTGATCACAGGGATCGGCCCGCAGGGATCCGTTCACAGGGATCCATCCTCAGGGATCCATCCTCAGGGATCTGATCACAGGGATCGGCCCGCAGGGATCCGTTCACAGGGATCCATCCTCAGGGCTCCATTCACAGGGATCTGATCACAGGGATCGGCCCGCAGGGATCCGTTCACAGGGATCCATCCTCAGGGCTCCATTCACAGGGATCTGATCACAGGGATCGGCCCACAGGGATCCGTTCACAGGGATCCATCCTCAGGGATCCATCCTCAGGGATCTGATCACAGGGATCGGCCCGCAGGGATCCGTTCACAGGGATCAGCTTACAGGGATCAGTTCACAGGGATTGGCTCACAGGGATCGGCCTGCAGGGATTTGTTCACAGGGATCAGCCCAGAGGGATGTGTTCAGAGGGATCGGCCTGCAGGGACTGGGCCACAGAGATCAGCTCACAGGGATCTGCTCACAGGAATTTGTTCACTGGGATCTGTTCAAAGGGATCGACCCACAGGGATCGGCCCACAGGGATCGGCCCACAGGGATCCATCCTCAGGGATCGGCTCACAAGGATCTGTTCACAGGGATCTGTTCAAAGGGATCCATCCACAGGGATCTATCTGCATAGCTCAATCCTCAGGGAGCCATCCACCGGGATCTGTAAGGATCCATCATCCACACGGATACATATGGATCCATCTGCATGGAGCCATCCACAGGGATCCATCCACATGGATCTACATGGACCCATCCACACAGAGCCATTAACAAGGATCCATCCACACAGTTTCACATGGAGCCACCTACAAGGATCCATGCCCACAGATCCATCCACACGGACCCATTCCCATAGATCTCTCCTTATAGTTCTATCCACATGGATCCACACACACAGACGCATCCACATGGATCCATCCATGCAGACCCATCCACATGGATCATCCATCCCTATGGATCCATCCATGCAGACCCATCCTCATGGATCCATCCATGCAGACCCATCCACACGGATCCACACAGACGCCTCGCCACAGACCCATCCACAAAGCCATGTCCCCAAGTGCCACATCTGCACGTCTTTTAAATCCTGCCAGGGATTGTGACTCCTCCACTTTCTTGGGCACCCTCTGCTAGTGCTTGTAACACTTTTGGAGAAAAAAATTTCCCTAACCTCCTATCCAAACCTCCCCTGGTGCAACTTGAGGATGTTTTCTCTTGCCCTATTAAAGAGCAAGCACTACTTTTAACTAGGTTACCAGTACATCTGAAAACAGGGTCTTACCATGATATTAATGAGAAAATCTCAGAATTTTCTCAATCACTAGAATTATTTTAATTTTTCCTTAGTCTTAAGAGGGAGGGAGAAAGTATTTCTGGAGCTGTCAAGGCTCTCATGCCATTTCTCCTTGTCTAAGGCTGAAAGTGGTGTCCAAACACAGGCCATTACTATGGTATTTGAGACCTATTTCATCTATTGAACAGCTGCTGCTGTCACTTCAGCTTAGTTTTTAAAATATTAAAAAATCATCAGCAAGAAAAGAAATGGCTGAATGAACAAAGAGCCTTTATTCATCCCAATGGCCTCAGTAAGAAAAATGTAAGAGTGGAGGGGGGGGAGAAGCAGATCCCATCTGAGACAGGATGGGAAAGTATTTCTTGCCAGAGTATTTCAAAGCTGTTTCGCCGTCATCGTCAGCAAATCTATGACAACATCTGGGCTGAGAGAGCAGATCAACACATCAAAGCAGCCCCAGCAGATATGGAGGGCTTGGGCTAAGGAGGTTATCCAGGGTAAATGGCATTTGGCAATTTATTAGCTGTTGTTTTTAGCAAGGCTGCCGCGGCCATGTCTAGCACCCCGAATTAGAAACGACAGGCAGCTGCACTCACTCAAACGAGCAAGGATGAGCGGGGCTTGGGAGCAGGTTTCACAGAGCCCCTCATTGTCTGCCTAAATCCCCTGTGCCTTTGAAACCTTGCCTCCTGTGCTTCCCAGGTTAGGGTCAGTGCTGTGCAGACTGTTTGCAGTGCTGGAGGTGGGAGCTAATGAGGCGTGCTGCGCTGTCTGCCACACGCAGGGGGATTTCGTAAGCCCGGCACCTGCTCCAGATGAATGCAGCTGATGGCACGGGCTGCAAATGCTGTCTATCCTCAGCCCAGCTTGAAATGTCTGAGGATTAGCTCTGTAAATCGTGGATTCTCACAAGTGCAGTGAGCAAAGATGACTGGGTCCAGGTGTTCTGCAGATTTAGAAACAATCTCTACCTTCAGGCCTGGTATTTGCTGCCATGAGCACCAAGCCAAGGCCTCTGGACCTTCTGAAGAGCCGACTGCCATACCTCTGTAAAGAATCAGAGAAGTGGAATTTAGGTCTTTCAAAACAGCAGATAATGCTTTCATTCATAAACAAGGACTAAGGTTTGTTCTAAGGGAATTGCTGAAGGCTCCAAAAAAGCTCTCATGGATACTTGGTCAATGTGAGACAGGTATAAACTACACCAAACTGAGTTAATTTGTCAGGTACAGCAGATCTGGCTTTTTTTAACTTCTTCCTTAACTTCACCAAATCCCTGCCTGGTTGAAACTGAAATTTTTCAGACTATTTGATTTTTAAAACTGGATTGGGAGCAATTTCTTTTTCTGGTTTAATTTGAACCAAGGCCTCCAACAAATTGCTTCTCTTTGAGAAATCCCATTTCGCCTCTAAAATCCATAGGGACAGATTCATTAGGAGCTGTAGAACAACTTCCAGAGCTGAAGAGTGGCTGGTAAGCCTTGCCTCTTCATGCCCAGTCACCAGAGCTCAGGACACCTAATTGGACAGGTAATAGGGAGATTCCAGCTCCCTGAGCAGAGATTTGAAATAGGATCCAACAGAGCTGAAAAAAGCATCCTCATGACCTGCAGCAGGCTGGGGGAAAATATTTCATAGAGTTCACATGATATCAACTATTAATTAGAGAAGGAATAATGACACTAGGAGTTGTTAATTGTTTTAAATAAGTAAGTTGCTTAGAAATTTTATTTGTCTTGTTTTGGTGATTCTGTTAATTATCTGCTAAGCATTTTGAGTGCAAAGAAGTCTGCCTCGTTCATGTGAGACTACAGTGTGGATACCTTCTGCAGAACTGAGGCTCCTCATCTTGAAGCAGACACCTCTTTCAACATAGTCAGTGGAAAGACAGCACCAGCAGCCCTTTCCAGGAGCCCAGGGCAACTGTTCGCCTAATTTGCACACTTAAATGTAGCTGTGGAGAAATTCAGACCTTGCATGAGAGTGGCACTTTGCTCAGGTGCTGCGTTTGTGATCTGCTGTTGCCTCAATGCTGAGATTAAAATGATGCTGCAGTGGGGTCACAGCCTCACTCCTCAATGTCATGAGACCCCTGCTCACAAGTTCTTCCTGCTGATCACTTAAAAATATGACAGGCTAGAAAGTGGCAAGATTGTTACTGAAAAGCTGATTATGCCTTAAAGCCATCACAGGATGAGTTACTGGAGTTTAATTCTTCAGTTCTGCAGGATGTTCAGCTGCCTTGAGTGTCCTGACACTTAAAAATAAATTGGCAAAGGCTGGGAGGTTTGCTGTGGAATAGGACCAAGACATTTGAATTGAAATCTCAGCTCAAACAGTCAAACTAAACCTCTTGACTGTACTAAATAGGAATAATTTTATTTTATGAGATTTCTGGGTTCACTGCTCTGTGTTGTGGCCAAGGAGGGATGCTGTGAGGAGAAGGAGAGAAAATTACACAATTTTTTTTAACCAAACTCAAGCAATGGTTCTTCTCTGACCCACGTTTGGGGTAAGGTGGGATTTTGGGGAAGGTGTGCTCCAGGAGCAGCTGGTGGGTGCCCATCCAAGCCCCCAGGCTGGCAGAGCCATCAGCCTGTGCCCACACACTCCCTGGGGATGAGTTACCCCAGTGGTGACAACCCCTTGGGATGTGGGACATCTTCTGCCTTCCCAGCTCATCCCCCTCCTCCCAGCAATTCCCACAGCCTGCCAGCACCTGCTG